ACAAATTGTTTCCATGTTTTTGTCACAAAATTACGTTGTATTATTACACCTCCTGTGACCCGGTTTGTCTGTATGTGTATTCAGAGCCAGCAAGCAACGGACCTTCAAAATAATAATAATTAAAAAAAACTGTTAATGCGCGATAAAATAATTGTCGGCGTTAATTAATTAATAATAACGTGTTAATTTGCCCAGCCCTAATATATATATATATTATATTATGACTTATTAACCTTGACACATGGGTGTCAACCTTTTGAAAATGATTAAGATTGTACACTCACATATATTTAAGCTGTAAGAACAAAACATTATTACTTTTTACTTGATGGTTACACCACATAACATTTAAGGTAAAAAAAATTTAAAATGGCATTAAAGTTTTCCAAATCATTTTTAAACTAACATGAAAACCAATATTACGCTTCTATGAATTTGGCATACTTATGAATTCCATCCTCAAGATAAACAATTATGTGATTCAATTATTCATAACTTCACTGTAAAATGGACATAAAACTCAAATTAAATGGACACTTAAAATATTAATGAAAACTATTCTTAACTTTGAGGTCATAAGAAACAAACCCACCTGTGCCTTCTGTGGCGTTAGACACTGTAAAAACCAAATACAGTCCATGTTAATGTAATCAACAGAAATGATACATTTAACTTTTCAATTTACTTGAGAAAATGTGTTCATGTTTGCCCAGGGCACTAACTGAAATACCACTTAGCAGGAAGAAAGACAAACAGCAGAAACTAAACTATAAAAAAATAAAACGTCAACGTCAAGAGTGCTGAGCTGTACACTTAACACTGTACACTCTGAGCCCTCACCCAGCTGCTGATCCATCTAATCACATCAAATCCTTTACCCATATTCTGCAGGTCCTTCTGGTCGTAGTACAGACGCGTGACTCTCTCCATCAGCTCCCATTTCTCACAGCAGCCCTTATAGTCGACGAAGTTCCTGGCAAGAATCTCCTTCAACTGGCGTACACTCAGAGCCTCAATGTCCTCCACTGATCTGATGTCAGACAGAGACGCCCGTCGCCCAGGAGCCAGCACTTCCTCAGAGTCTGAAGACTGACACAGAGAAAGACAGCATGCAAACATCCGTTTATCTAGGGCTGGAACGTGACTGATGGGTAAATGATCTCTTGGCATCCCAAGTGCATGCAAACATCACTCCACTGAAAGTCAAAGCAGACTTCAGAGAACAAGAATCTGCCAAATCAAGAGCAAATGTTAGAAAATGAAAGTGCGTCATTATTTTCACTTTACTGATTTAGAAACAGGTTTAACCCCAACCACAACGCAATCCAGAGATGAGCAAAAAGCTGTGGTTTAAATGAGTTTAGTCGGCAGGTTTGGCACAGACAGCATGAACAGAAAGATGTTAAAAAACACACACAGATGAATCGATTAATGCTCGGCAGTGTGAGGGCAGTTTGTGTAACTCCACATCCTGTTATCATGCAAACATTATATGCTAATACTAGGGTTCAGATAACCAGCTGAGCGTTCATCATGGTTTAAAGGTCTTGTTTAGATTACTTCAAGAGCCTTTTTTATTATGATAAGGAGTGGTAGCATGTGTCATAATATTGGCCTTCCACCACACAGTAAATGTTGCACTTATCCTTCTTAATGTAGCGTTGAAAGACAGACCATCCATACTTGACCAACAGAGAGATTGTACATCAAACTTAAACATGGTTTCTCTCAAGGTATTTTCTCAATTTCTGTCACCCGATGGAGTTTTGGTTCCTAGCCGCTGTCACCTTTGGCTTGCTTAGCTGGGGTTTAGGATTCAGGGTTTATATTCAGTATCATTGATTTGAAGGAACTGACACTATCAGATGAAAACAAAACTTGAACTGACTTGAGCTGAATAATGACAATATTGTCTTCTGCAGAGCTGCTTGACAGGAGAATGTGTCACATATTTGATAACTTTCGCATCATTGACTATATAAATAAAGGTGACTTGACTTCTCCAGTCATTTAGTCCAGACCCTAACAATCGACAGCAAGCTCACATTCAGTTTTGAGTGCAGCACCCATATCTTAAAATCCAATCAACAACCGATGGGTAGAATCAAATCCCAGATCTTTGTTTTTTTTTCTCGATAATCTGTTACACTCAGATGTACGTCACAAGATCTGTTGCTACTTTCATTTATTGTGACTTCTCACACTAGCACTTTTTGCTCCTCAAGTGAAAGAAGCAACAGTGTTGAGTTGAGGGTCTGCTGCTGTCCCCGATACATTTTCTTAAGATCAGACTGAAATGACCAAGGAACGAATTGTTCATTTGAGCCAGATTCAAAAGAATCAGTTGATCTGGTTCACAAAACCGGTCTCAATTGCTTCGTTCACTGGAAATGGATTAATCCCGATCTTTACCTAGTTGACAGAATCGTTTCTGCATGAACTGTCCCTTTAAGATGTGAAAAGAGTAGACTCGAAGACAGACTTTCAAAGAAGCAGTGATTCATCCCAGCCTGCAGCCAAGCTTTTTCCTACGCTCAAAGCACCCCTATGAAGCAGAAGACATTCTTTAAACTGACTCTACTGTGAACGGCAAGAATCATCAAGAGGCCAAATCTTGACTGACAGAAAGATTCCTAAGCATTCTGAAGTGTGACAAGTCACTGTTCTGTCCTCTGCCCCATTTAACGCCCCAGACAGCGCAGCAGCGAGAAGTAGAGGAGAGGTGAGGAGTTTCAGGAGGTACCTGCAACTCCTGCTCCTCCTGCAGCTCAGCATCCATCTCGCTTTCAGCTGTCGCCTCAGCCAAGCTCTAAGGGTCAAAGGTCACAGCCAACAGAGTTTAACGCAGCTGTGCTCCCTATCTAACTCACTTTAAGTTACAACAGATATTTTGCACACTCTGTAGTGTTCTTAAGAGACAGTCTGTGTCAAAAGTGAGTCATACGAGACATTTTAAAGCTGTGCTTTACAGTGCTGTGTGAACCAAACCGAGAAGTGAAGCACATGCGATTTAAAAATTTGATTAAAAAATAGACTAATGGTTTCCAAAAAAAAAAAATTGAGCAGCAAAAACTGTTTTCAACATCGGTAATAAGTGTTTCTTGATCAAATCAGCATATTCAGTGACACTAATGATGCTGAAAATTCAGCTGTGCATCACAGAAATAAATTACATTTTACAATTTATTCACTTAGAAAATGGTTATTTTAAATTGTAATAATATTTCACAATATTACTGTTTTTTACTGTATTCATTCATCAAATAGATGTAGCTTCTTTCAAAAAAAAAATTTAAATTATTCCAAACCACTGACTAGTAGGAACTAATTGATTTTTTTCACATTTTTTACCTGTCCATCTTCCGTTGCTCGAGTCTGAGGTCCCAGTTCTGCTGTGCCATTGTCCGCCAACGGGCTCACGGTTATGACTGGAGTGTTAGGGGATTCCTGTGTGGTCACTGGGGGTGGAGGAATGTGCATGTCAGATGTAGGCGTCTGCTGGCCAAGAACCAGCTCGACCAGCTCCTCTTTCTCACGGCACATCTGCGTGGGGACCCCGTGCAAGTGGAGGTAGTCCCTCAGATCCTTCACCTTGAGCTTCATCAGCTCGGCGCGCTCGAACAAGATGCCGCGGAAACGCTGGCATGTGTGGCACAGCCATGGCTGGAGGTCCTGCTGAGTGGAGCAGCGGCTGCAGTAGCTTTTTTGGCAGTCCATGCACACGTGCTGCAATGAATAATGGGAGGGTGAGTTTTACAGCCAGGTTAAGACTGGAACACAATGTCTAATCCTCCTTTTAAGGAGGAACACTGCATTTTGCAACTGACCAAGACAACTGGGTCAGAAGCTACACTCTATTGCATCGTCTTCTGTTTACATCATTACATATGATAAACACCAAGTTGTACTGGATAATGCCAAAGGAGTCTGGGAAGCTTCTTCAGGAAATATAAACATGTGACTAACAGAACTCAAGCGTAGCGTTCTGGAAGTCACAATGCCATTCAGTCAGAGCTGTGGCGCAATGGACTGTGCACATGCTCAGGATACGCAACAGCTGCTGGCTCATGTCCCGATCTCACCCCCCTCCTCTCACTACTACTTTACTGCCTCAAATCCTGTAAAATAAATTCCCCTTCGAAATCATTCATTCTCATTCAATATTCAATGTCATGGAAAGAGTAAAGTCGGTCTCAACTTTAGGTTCACATACACTTTAAAGGTGCAGTGTTAAGTGATTTCTGAGAAACGCTGTTGATGACCAAAACAAACACATTCCTACCCAAAATAATCACACCTCTGTCTTGATAGCTCCGCCCCCAAATTCACAAACATGCTATGCAACAGGCACCTCCCCCATCACGCATGGACACGCCCCGTACTGGTGATTGGCTACAAGTTTGTTTTGGTGCTTTCAATCCACTTTCAACATCTTTTCGCAGAAATCGCTTACTGCACCTTTCAGGCCATGACACAAGTCGGCCAAATTTGGGCTGTCTCTGAGCATCTGTCGGCCTAGTTTTTGCCACCAGTTCTTTCATGTTGGTTTGTTGTATCACAGCCTTTACATAGGTGAAATTAAGGTCTAAGCCTGTAGAAGCAATACATCATTGGAACATTCCAGCTTCATTTATAGAAATATAATGTTTTATATATGTTTTAATCAGCAAATTACTGGTGAAGCACTACACCACCCACAATTTTAAAGTGCAATAGTTTGGGTTCTGGAAGTAAAAAAAATGCCATTCCTTTTTCTCAACAATAGGGGAACTGATTTTTAATGATAACCTACAGCATAAACCATTAAAGGGGTCATATGATGCGATTTCATTTTTTCCTTTCTCTTTGGAGTGTTACAAGCTCTTGGTGCATAAAGAAGATCTGTAAAGTTGCAAAGACTAAAGTCTCAAATCCAAAGAGATATTCTTTATAAAAGTTAAGAGTTAGCCACGCCTACCTAAAACGGCTCGTTCGAACACGCCCCCACATATCTACCACACTATGTGGGAAGATTTGCATAACACCGCCCAAATGTTCAAGCAAAGAAAGAAGGCGTAACTTTTATCCTCGCTGTAGTATTGTTGTTGCCGCCGCCATGTCATGGAGACGCTGTGTGTTTCGTTGTGAAAGCGAAACTACTTTGCTTGGTCTTCCAAAAGAGGACGATATCCACTTCGTCATGCCTAGAGCTGATCCGTGCTGGTAGCTGAGGAAATACATCAACTTCGCGCTGTCGCATTATAATCCGTATTTATGTCCCCACTGGATGCAACAAATGCCTTGTTTGTAATGGGTTTTAATGTTTATGCCTCGTCGCTCCGGCTGGACACGGCATCAGCAGTATGTGAGGGGCGTAACATTTCCGTCTCATGCTTGAGGTATTCGGCCAATCACAACGCATTGGATAGCTGGCCAATCAGAGCACACCTCGCTTTTCAGACCGATTAGTTTTGTAAAAATCGACGCGTTTCAAAAAGGCGGGGCATAGAGGAGAAACAATAATGTACAGTATGTGGAAAATAATGTGTTTTTTTTACTTTAAAGCGCATAAACACATTTCATTACACCAAATACACAAAATAATGTTCTTTTTAGCAGCATCATATGACCCCTTTAAAGACAAACCTACTGTGAGTTCCAAGGTTGTTAATCAATGGTATTGTTGAAGCAATGAAGCTACATTATTTAATTATTTCAGAAGCCATGAGGCCACATTTATTATAGCCAGTGAAAACTACACTGCCCATGATTCCGCAAAGAAATCTCCAACAATGGAGTAAATCACAAAAAAACAAAACAAAAAGCCTTCGCCAACTCCCAATAAGCACTGTGAATGACAGAGTAAGTCTCCCTACTTAAATGTATGTATATATATATATATATATATACGTATAATTTGGAATACATTTAAAATACATAATTAACATCTTTAAATCAATAGTTTTATATTTCTCTGTTTTTATTTTATGCCATTTATGTCATTAAAGCCATTAAGAACAGTGTTGAACCTTCATCTTCTTGTCCAATTTTGACATATCAAAATCAAATCAAAGTTTGTAATGCTGTGATTCACCTTGTAGCTGGTACCATTGGTTTGGTTAATGGCTAATAATGAGTCATGGGATGAATAGTTAATTCATTTTGCTGATTTTCAAATACTTTGTCTTCAAATCAATTGCTGTAATATTAATTAATCATGGAACTAGTTGGTTTGGTTTAAGGCTTGGAAACTTTTTGTGAAATACATATTGACGTAAGAATAAGCTTCTGCTGAAAAGCTGGGTGGTCACTATTGAGCTCTATTCAGATAACAATACTGGATGTGCTTTGTAGATGTCCTACCCACTAATATGCGTTCAAACATCAAAAACTTCCAATCCGATATCTTCAAACAAATCTGTTCAGGAAACCAGATCTCAATGTGACTCTGCTCTTATGTAAGGTGTGTGTGCAGGAATGCCATGAACGTGACGTGACAACAGCAGCACAACAGTAAGGAAGCCGTACAATGGCTGTGACATCGATATGCATCATCATGCTGTCATTTGAGCCACAGTTTACAAAGAGCATTCTGGATAATTCTGCTCGTGAGGTGGGCAGGTAGTCATGCTGGATGCAGACGCTCACACAATGACTCCTGGATGTATGGCGGCTTAATAATGTTAATAATGGTGGCTCAGCGACATGAGGATGATGTTAAATGCAATGCATCAAGAGGCCTCCAGAAGGCTCCAATAAGTGCAATACACATTAACAATGTATTTTTGATCACATATTTGATAGCACTGCCTAGAATTTAAAGTGTAGCATTATTTTACATTTAGCAGATGCTTTGCGCCAAAATATCAAAAACATATTGGACTTTTAGAGTTCTCTCTGGCTGTCTTCTGTTTTAAAGTGTATTCAGGTCAGAAAGGCCCTACAGTGCTTTAAAATGCTGCCTTAGTAAGCGGCTCACAAGGTGTAGGAGATTTTGTGTGTCTAGCAAATTCTAATTCACTGGCATAAGGTTCTCAGTAGGTTAAGACAGTTTGTGATTTTTAATAACATTCAACACGGGGGAATGTACAGTGAAACTACCTTGAGCACAGCCTTATGATCCTCAGCAACACGGCCAGTTAGAACTGGAATAAACTCAACTAGACATTCTGACCTGAATAACTGAACCTTTACATGTGAACATCTAGACCCGTTCACAGGCTTGCTTTGGTGTGTTGCAATTGGATTAAACTTCAAATTTTATTACTAATAGACTTTCATACACTATATAATCAGTGGAATTTATGTGTGCTAACAGAATAAAAGTTCATCTGAAAATGAACATTATGTCATCGTTTACCTTCTTGTTGTTCTAAACCTGTATGACTTCATTTCTTCTGTGCAACCTAAAATAAGACACTTTAAAGAATGCTTTAAATCTTTTTGGACAAATACAATACTACACACAGTGTAAACATCTTCTTTAATGCTCCACAGAAAAGTGCAAAGGATGTGGTAAATGATTTGTGTACAGCTTTTCACAGGGCTTATTACTTTTATAACACAGTTGCTACATACAGTGGGTACGGAAAGTATTCAGACCCCCTTAAATTTTTCACTCTTTGTTATATTGCAGCCATTTGCTAAAATCATTTAAGTTAATTTTTTTTCCTCATTAATGTACACACAGCACCCCATATTGACAGAAAAACACAGAATTGTTGACATTTTTGCAGATTTATTAAAAAAAGAAAAACTGAAATATCACAAGCCGTACCCACTGTATACCTGGCAAGGTTTCATTAACTAAACTCAGAACAACAAAAACATAATACATTTATTTAGAACAAATAATAATTATTCAGCCAAGCAATGAAGTTCTTCAGCAATGTTTAGCTGAATGGTTGCATCAACACACAGATGCAGTGACGCAGTAATACTGAAGTAATGAGTCCACAGAGTATTCATATTACTCTGTGGACTCATTACTTGTTGTTCTGTGTTTGACCTGTGTTGCAGCGTGGAATTAAACCACACCATGCTGGTTTGGTCTGGCCAGAGGAGAACTGGGCCCCCGACTGAGCCTGGTTTCTCCCAAGGTTTTTTTTCTCCATTTCTGTCACCGATGGAGTTTTGGTTCCTTGCCGCTGTCGCCTTTGGCTTGCTTAGCTGGGGACACAATTTCTGGCAACATTGTTGACTTGACTGCACAGACATTATATAAAGAGAACTGAAGTGAGCTGGACGATGCCCTCACTGAATCATCTGACTTTAACTGATAAACTGACTGTTTTCTATTGTCCTCTTGCATTATCCTCACACGTTGTTCCTGTTTGACACTGTAAAGCTGCTTTGACACAATCTGTATTGTATAAAGCACTATATAAATAAAGTAGGCCTGAGCGATAAAACGGTATCGATATTTATCGACGGTACACCTTCTTTGATAACGATATAAAAAATGTTCGATATAGTGCACGATATAGGCACGTGCTATGAGTGACGCAGACAGCACACACAAACAGGAACATGAGTGCTGTGCCTGCCTGTGATGAGGAGACTGTGACAAGTAAACAGTCAGTAATAAAATAAGAATAGATAAATGACAAGCAATGGCACAAACAAATACAATAACAAGATACAACTAAAATTAACTGTTAATTACTTTTTTCAGGGAGGTATAACAATAATATTCAGGTACAGCAATACCACAGAAACCGAATATCTATCTATCTATCTGCAAATGATACATTCCGTCATCTGTCCCGAGCGTCTTTCACGCTGAAACATTTGTGGGAATTTCCCACATTACAAGTGCGGAAATTGTGGGAATCAGTAGAATTATGCACAATCCCGCGCCGAAATTCAAGCCCTGATAAAACACATCTGCATGAAACAGAAAGAGCAGACGGGCTGAATGAGACGCAGATTCACTCTGACAGCAGGGGGCGCTTTTGGAACAGCAGTAATACATCGTTTCCATGGTTAACGCTGTAAACAAAACAGCACTGCGATTATAAACACCACTTTAATGTGCATCATACGGAGACAAGATGAAAAGAAAATACCATCTAAACTTTCTGAAGACAGTCAGTTGAAACCTTTGACGCTCTTCACAGTACAAACACTCACACAAATATGGGAGCGTTTGAAAGCAGCCGCCTGTCTGTACTCAGTACTACAGGTACTGTGGAAAGGATGGTATCACTACGTTTTTCAAATTTAAGTGTTGATTTGCTACCGAAGTACTGGTACTTTTGACAACAGTACTCCAAACCTTGAGAAACTGCCATTCACAAGCTCTTGCCATAATAATTTTATACTAACGTTAGTATAAAATTGATTACCTTTCTGGCTAGGCTGTCGAAGCGACCTCCACAGGCCTTGCACGTGTGTTCTGGAGCAGGGGGAGATGGGTAACTGCTGAAGCCCGAGTTGCTGAAGGCCTGATGACGTGTGCTACTTCTGGTGTCGTCCACGGTGGAATCATCCAGACAGAGCCAGCCGCAGCAGCTGGCCCACATGCTCCACACCTACTGCGAGAGTTCCAGAAAGAGACTCTTAGATTACAGCTAATCGCACCACAAATTGAATCAACTCAGTCTTCAAATACAATCAATCTTAGAAGACAAAGGATGTACTTTCTTAAAAGGTAGACTGGTCTGCTCTAATCAATAACCCTGGAGGTGAATTAGCAGCATGAAACAGTTCTTCCAGCATCAGTCAGGATGGCCGGTAAGCTCTCAGCTGGAGTCATTTGGCTGAAGAAGTAGGACTTCCATAATTTATTTAAAGGCTGTGTGCCGTCTAAACCACAGGAGCTGTGCAATACTCCTACTAGGATGACACTGTATCCTTCTGTCTCTCTCTCAAACTCACACACACTCCCTCTCTCACTCAGCCAAATAAAGGCTGGCTGATCCAGTAGCACTACCATGGTTACGCCTCTCATGGTTTGGGCACAGTGTTGAATGAGCTGATAAGATGAATGAATCATTCAGGATAGTAAAAACATCAGATGTGGGTAACTCACACCACTGTCCAAAGTATATTACCCTCATAGAAATTTTACTCCAGTAAGACATGCTGGTACAAAACGGTCTTGACTAAAAGCCACATGCAAAATAAACAGTACTGAAATTAAAAACCTGTATGACTAGCATTCACACGATACAATATAGTTATTGTCAACATTAAAGCAAAACTGACACCTCTTACATTTTTGGTCTTACTGTGCATTGTTTAATTAAAGGAAATTCTTCCTACGAAAAAGGTTTGTCTTTCTAAAGTTTCATCAAACCTGCTCGACCTCGGAAATGATTTTTGGTATTTTGCAGTTTGTTAAACTGTTGGTGCTCTAAACATGCATCAGATGGAAGTCTCTAGACATTGCATTTGAATGTCTTGAGTCATGAAGGCCACATTTTACGAAACTGTGCCAAGTGAAAAAGTTCAAAAAATGTGACTCAACAGACATGTGCCAGTTTTTGGTAATACAATACACTGGTACTGGTATTTTTATTTTTAGAGTGCACATTAGCTTTTTTTTTTCTGTCAACTGGTTAAAAAACTGGTTGTGGTGCTGCACAATTTTCTATTTCTGACACACACCTGTCATGGAGAAGAAGGGAAGTCAAACAGTACTTACATGTTTTCAAACAGCCATTCTTGATTTCTTTATTCCCTATGGTGCTTATCAAACAACACCTAAAACTTAAAGATGTAATATTTAATTCTAAACATTTGCTTACACATTTTCACATTTTAATCTGGACTAAAACATGTCAGTCCAGAAAAAAGATATCTAGATATGAGTTACTGTTCTTTATAGTTGCGTTCTTTTGCACTTTAATCAAACATTTGTTTTATTTTACATTTTTATTGTGTTTTGTCTTATTGTACTTAAATATGTACTTAAATATTAATGGTTCTTTTTATTTGAAAAAAGTTATTACACTGGTTTTTAAGAGGACACCACTCTTTTCAACCTGTTTTTGTAATGCAATTCATTACCATGATAATACAGTACACATTTCAGCAATTATTGTCTCAAAACAACATCAAGACCTTCAGATTCCTTCATTTGCAACCTAAATCTAATCATCTTCAGAGTGCTGACCGCAAACGTTAGTGTGAAATTGGTGTCTGATGAACAACAAACAAAAACAAAAAGAGTTAGATTGTGTTTTCATGATCAATCGTTGCCATCAATCATTGGTCTACTGTAGGGCTGTCAATTTTTTTTTCGAATTTCGAATATTCGTCGAAAAAAAAAAAAAAAAAAAACCCTTTCGAATGCAAAAGCGTTGCATTCGAATTTAAGGTCTGCGTCAGCCGTCAGGAAGCCTTATCAGTGGCGCACGAGATGCAATGACAATGTATGTGTCATTGATTGCATTTGAATGCTTTTGTTAGCCTATCCAGTTGAAGCCACTAGATGCGGCGCTGCTACATTGTTCATTCATAAATTGCGGAAAACGAGAGCATCAGTGTGGAGATGTTGTTTACGTCATCAAAACTGAAACCAAGCCGTTCACACAGAACGCATATTTATCACATTTTCTAGAGGGACATCTATCAGCGTTGCACTCGCGTCTCGCACAAGAGAGCGGCATGTTTAGAAAGCCATGTAAAATTAATGCAAGTTATTTTAATCATTATGCACTTTTTTTCAAAGATAGTCACGTTATTTTATTACGCTTTGAAGAAACGTGCAAAATATTTTGCTCGATGCGCCCTCTTGTGGCCTCAGGAGAGAAGCCAAAAGCTTTTTTCCCCCTAACTGAAATTATGCCTTTTAAATTCGAATATAATTCGAATTTTTATTATATTTAAGTAGAAAATTCGAATTTAGTTTTTCAGTTATTTTGACAGCCCTAGTCTACTGTGCTAACCGGTGCCATTACACACGGCAAGATTCTCCTGGCACTGAAAGAACAAGCAGTCAAGGTTGATTTCTGCCTCAAAAAGCAACAAAGTCCAAAGAAAGGGACTACATAACAGTAGGATCCTGTTACCCTGACAAAACCTGGAAAAAAATAAAATAATCTCGCTTCCAAAACAGTTCAGCCTGAGGATGCTAACAGAACCTCCACGACGACAAGAAAAACTCTGTGGTCAAGTGATGCAACCATCAAATAAAAAGCAACACCATTTTGCTTGAACCTCAAAAGTACGCAAGCTTATACATCTTGAGAGACTCTGGCTTTTGACACACATCAGAGTCTACAAGATTCTAGGACACGAGGGGTTCATCACTGACTCGTCACAACAACAAACTGGCTTTCTGCTTGGTGGACAAAGTTTGTTGCAAATAACAATCATTATTTTAAAATAAATAACTTATTAAATGAATTATTAGCTCTGGATGGTCATACCACCATAACATTCTTGACAAAATAAATAAAAAACAATCTATCCCTCTATTTAATTTCCAAACCCCTTGCCCTATGAAGGGTTGCACGGATGCTGGGGCCTATCTGTGGGTAAATAAATACATGTTTACAATTAATTTTAATTTTAAAACATGTTAAATCACAAAAGGATTGCACTGAAGTCACTGTAAATATTCTAAGGCTGCGTATTGACACAGATTTAACAAATCGATTCGATTTCAACTCTCAAGTTCTTGATTCGATTCAAGTAGAGAGAGATATAGATATATATATATATATATATATATACACAGTAATTTTTTTCACATTTTATGTTGCTGCCTTATGATAAACTTCTTTAAATTACTTTTTTCCCCACATCAATCTACACTCCATATACCATACTGACAAAGCAAAAACAGAATGGTCACTCACTCGTAAATTTATTAAAAATAAAAAAACTGAAATAAGTACATTGCATAAGTCAATTATCTGCCATTCCTCTCCTCATCTCTTCACCTCTCAAGCTCTGTCAGGTTGTCATATTTTGGTATATTGAGCTTTTTCTTCTACTCTGACGAGTCCCTGCCGCTGAATAACAGCCCCACAGCATGAGGCTGCTACCAGCACACTTTACTTTTGGGATGCTACTCCAAACTCTTCCACAGATGTGTGGCTTCATGCAAACCTGTTTCTGAGCTCTACAGGCAGTTCTTTTGACCTCAGGGCTTGGTTTTTGCTCTGATATGTATTATCAGCTGTTAGACATTTTATTAAGAAGTGTGTGCCATTCCAAATCATACCCATTCAATTGAATTTGCCACAGGTTAACTTCAGTCGAAGTGTAGGAACATCTACAAGCAAAATGAATGCTCCTGAGCTAAATTTCAACTGTCCCAGATAAGGGTATGAATACTTACGCAATGGAATCATTTTAGTTTTTATTTTTAATAAATTAGAAAAGATGTTAAAAGCCTGTTTTTTTGCTTTACAATTATGGTGCATGGAGTGTAGATTGTTGTGAAAAATTTTTTTTTTAAAGCACTTTAACATAAGGCAGCAACAAAACAAAATGTGAAAAAATGAAGGGGTATGAATACATTCGCAATGCACTGTATATGTTGTTTATTAGTACTTATAAAACACAAATGCATGACTATATTCTAGATCCCTTAACCCATACCCAATACCTAAACATAACAACTACCTTACTTACTATCAATAAGAGCAAATTAAGAGTTTATTGAGGGGAAACTCTCAGTTAAAGGGTTAGTTCACCCAAAAATGAAAATTAGGCTGCGTTTTACTCACCCTCGAGGCATCCTAGGTGTATATGACTTTCTTCTTTCAGACGAAACCAGTCGGAGTTATATTAAAAACTGTCCTGGCTATTCCAAGCTTTATCATTGCAGTCAGCGGGTGTTGGGTGAACAAAGGTCTCCTGTAGCGAATCGATGCATTTTTGTAAGAAAAATATCCATATTCAAAACGTAATAATCACTTTAATCTAGCTTGCGCCAACAGTCCTACACGGAAGCAGCTCCGGGCTGATGACGTATGGAGGTCGGCGTTGCGCATGTGCCGCTCAGAAGTGATGAACGCTGAAGCTCAGGGGAGAGATTAAAACAAAACAACGGTCACTAATTAGAAGTACAAAACGAGGATTTGTAAAGAAGAATGTCAGAGGATTTCGATATAAGCCAAGAGGAGACTGGTTTTCCTTTGCTTCCTTTGCTCCTGTTAACAAACGTTGGTTTTCACGAGACTCACCGGCGCATGCGCAAGGCTGACCTCATACGTCACGTCCGGAACTGCTTCCGTGTACAACTGTTGGCGCAAGCTACATTAAAGTGATTATTACGTTTTGAATATGGATATTTTTCTTACAAAAATGCATCGATTCGCTACAGGAGGCCTTTGTTCACCCCCCGGAGCCGTGTGAGACACTTTTTTTATGGATGGGCGCTTTTTATTTCACTTCTTTTGGACTGATGCACTGCAACACCAGCTGACTGTAATGATAAAGCTTGGAATAGCCAGGACAATTTTTAATATAACTCCGACTGGATTCGTCTGAAAGAAGAAAGTCATATACACCTTGGATGCCTCGGAGGTGAAGTAAAACACAGGCCAATTTTCATTTTTGGGTGAACTAACCCTTTAATAGCGAATGTGTTCCCTAATCTATTCTAAAGTATTACCTGATCTGTTCCAAATCATTGTTGAAATATAAACAGTGGCTATCATAACTTTTCATGACAGACTTATTCAAACTAGTGCTGGGCGGTATGACCAAAAATGTATATCACGGTATTTTTCAAAATTATACCGGTTTCACGGTACATGACGGTATTTTTTTTTCGTGCA